CTCACGGTTGGGCGGGAGGCGCAACGCTGCGGACTCCGCTCCCTCCGAGAGCTCCGCCCGCTCTTCCCACGCTCCGCGCCCGCGCCGCGCCGCGCCACCATGCGGCCAAGTCCGGCGCTGCGCCTGCTGGGAACGCGATCGCCCCCGCCCAACCGTGAGAAATGCGGCAGAGGATCTGACCAGCCAGCCAACCAACCACATTCTCGCCGGCAAGGGGCCCGCCCTAACCTGAGGGCGGCTGCAGAGTTGTCCTTTTCTTCACAGGTTCTGGTTTCTCTGACCTTTTCTTCCAAAGTTTCTCTCTCATGACAGCTCTTATAAGGTAAAAAGTAGGAGATGTGGGCCGCGCTCAGGCAACTAAAGCCCTGTGTAGTGAGGTTCACAGGGGTGCACCTAGGTCACTCCTGGTGCTCGTTAGAAAACAGATTATGCTTCTGTCTACCTGTAAATGCTTACTCAGGGGGATGTTTTCTTGACAGTTTTCTGACTGCAACCTGTGGAGAACTGGAGAAGAACTGTGGATCCTCTCTACAGAAAAATGCGCACTCTCACAGAAGCAGTTTTGCATGGTATTTCAGGGTGTTTTGAAACTTCTCCATGTCATGACCGCCAACTTCAGACCTCTATATGTGCCTGTGAGGGCAGGTAAGCCAATTGGCAGTTCCTGAAACTGCCACTTTGCCGTCCTTCTGGAACATCTTCACCAGTCTCTGAGCCCATGTTTCTGCCTGTAAAAATACCTTTTTGTAATCCCGTCGATGGGGATTGGAGGCATAGCAGAGACAGGCAGATTGTAGAGGGGTCTGGTTTCTGGCCAGTCTTGCCGAAACTTGAGCTCAAGATTTAGTGAAAGATTTTATCCGGAAAAATAGGGTGGAAAGGAGAAGAGAAAGACACCAGATTTCTACTTCTAACCACTCATGCCCTCCTCCTCCTTTCCTTAAAGGCTAACACAAAAGCCTCCTTGATGATTTTCCTGCATCACATTCTGCTTTTTAACTACTGTTAGATGTATATGCTCCTGTTGCTGTGGTTGATTGTAAACTCTTTTAAGATCAGTGTTTTCCTTCTGCAACCGAGGTAATTTACATAATTTATTTGACAACAGTTTATTAATACTCAAAGTGAAGGAACTGAGGGGAATAAGAAGCCCAGCAGGATACCCAGAGGAAACTGTACCCTCCTTTTCTTTGGTTGCTCCAACAGCAATATATATTCTCCTGGGTATAATTCCATGACTAGAAAACAGAGCGCTTAAAATGGCAAGATCTTCTCATTTCTATTTTCTTCTGGACAAAGCAGCCTCAATTCAATGGTTGCTAGATGGAGTTAGGATACAAGTTCATGCAGAATGCTCCTGTCAAGCAACAGTTATTTCACCACCAATGTCCATGAGTCCAATAAGGGGCCCCACCCCCTACTCATTGTACCTGAGAGAAGAAACAAGAATATCACCAATGATTTTTCACTTCCTCCAAGCCAATCACCATGTTCTGTGACTTTTCCTGGGAGATAGGAACAAACCAATCCATGGCAGCTAAAGAAACTATTCCAATCGGGTTTAGCTTAGTAAACCAGTGAATTTATTGGGGTCGCTTATGGGAACATGGGCGACTAAAGGTAGCTGCATCACTGAAAAGCCTGCTCCCACGATGAGTGACAGTTCATAAAACCTGCAGGTGTGGAACTTCCAGACCTGTTTATTGAAAGCTCAGAGTATCTTCTCTCCCCAGCTAATGCTATTGCTATGTAACCTTAAGAAGGGACCTGTGACTTGTAAATTTCAGGCGCTTGTTGAGACTCCTCGGTTTTTAAATTCGTACTTTTAGTTTGCTTCCTGACTCTTAAGAAGACTGCCTCCAGAAAAGTGTGGAAATAACTCTTACTCCAGAAAGAGTAAGGAAATAACTCTATAACACACTGTCTATGTTCTACTTCCTAAATCACATCTCGAAGTCCTCTTCTTCTTTGTTCCCAGCTCAGAACCACTATTTCTTTTTTGAATTTCCACATGTGTCTCCACCCCAGCTATACTCCCTGCTTCCAACATCACCAGGCTCAGATCCAGGCCCACATCTGCTATGGCCTGGATATGTGTCCTCTTAAAAATTATTTTCAAATCCATAGTCCAATGTGATAGTATTAGAGGGTAGAATCTTTGGGATATAGTTAGGTCATAAAAGTGAAATTTGTGAATGGAGTTTATGTCTTCAAAGGAGGGGCATTTGCAGGGTGTAAGTTGCACACAAATGCAATTTCAGTACTTTAGAGTCCACAGCAGAAATATCATGAGTTCATGACCAGCCTAGGCTATATATCCAGAAAAATATAAAATACACCCGGGAACTTGTTCATTCTCACTGTCTTGTGCCACCTGAAGAAAAACTAAGACAAGATAAAAACTCCAACAGCAGAGGCTGACCTTTACCTGAAAAAAAACTTGCCAGCACCTTAATCTTGGGTTCCTCAGCCTCCAGAACTATGAGAAATAAGCACCTGTTGTGTAATCTGTCCAGTCAATGGTTCCCTATTATAGCATCTCAGAAGAAATACAGCATTTCAGGCTGACAGGTCTCCAAAAGTATCAATCTCTTCTCTACTTACAACCATGTGAGAGTCAAACCTCTTCACTTGGTTCACTAGGCCTCAAAGATCTGTTCTTAACTGTATCTCCAGCCTCCCCTCTTGGTACTTTGCTTTAATTGCACACTTCGCTGATACTAAACATCAGTGTCCTTCCCACTCAACAGTGAGCACTCTCCCTGCTACACCCTGTTCAGCTATTCCCTTTGCCTTCTCTTGCATCTCTGTTCAGAGTCCATTCTTTTTATGGCATTATCCCTTCAATACTGCTATTTACTTCTGTGACATCTGCTTTCCTTGCCATAGAGAGACCTCTGCACTGCTGTTCTCCATGCCTAACACAATACCTGATGTTATGTAGAAGCCTGAACATTCCCATTAAATAAATGAAAGGTAGAATATGAGAGACACCCCCAGATAAGAGACCCTGGGGCAAATATAGTTGTATTCTTAATTGCAGTATGACCAACCTGGCTTGTTTTATTCTGTTTGACTTTTGTTTGTTGAGATAATGTCTTACTCTATAGCCCAAGCAGACCTCAAATTCATAATCCTCCTGCTTCAGTCTTCTGGGTGCTAGGAATACAAGTGTGTGACACCACACATGGCCAGAAGGCAGATTTTAAATATGGCAGAACTCAGCATTTTCAAATGATTTTCAATCTTTCTGAGTCTTCAGTTTCTTTAACTGAAACATGGGGATGATAACGCCCAGGGTTGCTCTTAGATGTATGTGGTGGTACCTAACAATTTTAAAATCTTCTCCATCTATGTGCTAGTCAGTTATGTTGTATCACTTACTTGATCCTAGCAGTAACATTTTCATTTGACAGCTAACATTTTTTCATTTTGCATGTGAGGAGACTGAAGTGGATCAGTGGAACCCCATTTGTCATAGGTTACCTAGCTAGTTACCAGGCAACAGAGTGTGAGTTTGGGTTCTACGTCTAGGTATTCTCTACCAGAACCAACCCCCAACCTGTTCTTCCCTTCCAGCTCCAGAGGAGGAAGCACTGTTGGGACAGATATGTCACAGACATGTAGCTAACAAATGGAGATACAGAACTTCTGAAGGGTTTTCAAAGTATAAGGTAGTTTGGTTGGGAAAACTTAATCAGAATAGGAAGAAATGGGCTAAAGAGTCATTGACCTTGAGGCTAAACCTGTACTTGAATTTTTGTCCCCTTTTGTACTGTGGGACAATTGTCTTGTACCCTGTAATTGTATTGGTTTAAAACGTTGATTGGCGAGTAGCCAGGCAGGAAGTGTAAGTGGGGCAACCAGAATAGGAGAATTCTAGGAAGAGAAAAGGCTCAGTCTGCAGTCTTCACCCAGACACAGAGGATACAAGATGAGAACGCCTCATTGATAAAGGCACCAAGCCATGTGACTAACACAGACAAGAATTATGGGTTAATTTAAGAGATAAGTATTAGTTAATAAGAAGCCTGAATTAATACGCCAACCAGTTTATAATTAATGTAGGCCTCTGTGTATTTCTTTGGGACTGAATGGCTGCCAGGCCACGCAGGACAGAAACCTCTCTCAATACTTTTGTATCCTAATAGGAGAATCTCAATTAACATACTAACTTTATATGTGACTGAACACCTTCAGGCTCAAAGATTACCAGAAGCCTGGGTCTGTTTTCTCTATATTTGTACTTCTGCCCATCACCAAACAGCTATCAAACTCTTACTAAATGTTTTGTTATGGCTTGCAGATGTCTGGCCAAATTAACCACTCTGAGCATCCATTTCTCCATTCTGTAAAATGGGATTGATAATATCCCAGCATGTAGCTGTTAAGAGAATTAATCAAGATGATAAAACAGCTGTCGGTGGGTTGTTGCTAGTGGAAACACCTTCCCAGTGTCCTACCCTCTGTCTGATGGTGTTTATGCTCGTAGGTTGTCTGTTTAGCAACGAGGCAAAGGACAGAGGGAAACTTAGGGACTTGAAAAGCACAGGAGTATGAAAGTGGTTGTTTTCGCCTATTGTTCCTTTCACAGAGATCTGGAAATAGCTTTGAGGCTCTGAGTTTTTTGGAACTGTTCAATAATGACATATGATTCATATGCAGTAATGTTACCTATGTTGATGGCTTGTTGCCTGAGGCTGTAAATGTATCTGATATGCAAAATAATTTTTTAAGACAGAATCTTTCTAAAAAGCCCAATTTGGCCTCAAACTTACAGTTCTCCTGCTTCAGCTACACAAGTATTAGGTTTATAGTCGTGTTTTACCACACCTTCACATAGAAGGTATTTGAGGAGAGGCTTTCTCAAGACCTTGGTGGGCAGGAGGCCTGGACCAGTAATTGCCAAGACAGGAGAGCAAGAACAAAGTCGTTTTCTTTACTGATCATAGTTTAAGGTCAGTACTTTGAAAACATCGATGAAATCATCTGTCGTTGGAGGCCACCAATTTGTTGTCTGACCACCCTGACTCAAAATAATCAGAAACTATATTATTTGCAATACTGTTTGGCCAATAGCTTAAGCGTATTTATAGCTAGCTCTTATATTCTAAACCAACCCATCTCCATTAATCTGTGCATCACCACAAGGTCGTGATCTATCAGCAAAGTTTCAGTAAGCTCCAGTGGAGGTGTCTGTCTCCGGCTACATGACTCACCTACTCCCTCTCTCTACATCTCTGTTTGGATTTCCCACCTGGTTTTACTCTGTTAAGCCATTGGCTGAAAGCAGATTTATTTGTTAACCAATAAAAGCAATACATATACAGAAGGACTTCCCACACCAATCATCAAATAAGATATTATAGATATGAAGGACAGAAATGGCATCAGAAATTTAGTAAGAACTCAGTACACATAAGCTCCTGAAGAAGATGAGTGCACTTGAGCATCGGGCAGAGAACCACTCTTCTGATCAGTCTTCTAATGCCACCTCTGCACTGAATTGTGTGTGGGGGTGTGTGTGTGAGGGTGTGTGTGTGTGGGGGGTGTGGGGGTGTGGGTGTGAGGGTGTGGGTGGGTGTGGGTGTGTGGGTGGGTGTGTGGGTGTGTGTGGGTGTGTGTGGGTGGGTGTGAGGGTGTGT